TGTGCGGGAGCCGCCAATTGAGCAGCATTTAAGTTGGGTATAAAGATGGCCTCCTGTCCATCAATGGTCACCGTCTGCATTGGCTGCACAATTTGAAACATATTTTGAGTGGGTATGGCTTGTGCCTGCTGTGGTGCTGATGCCGTAGCCTGAACAAATTGCTGCGGCAGGTGTTGTAAGTTGATAATTTGTTGCAATGGAACATTACTGCTATTACTCGTTGCAATTCCCTGCGCTGTGGGTGTAGCATTTACAAAAGTTGCCTTTACCTGTGCGCTGGGGGCAGTGGACGCTTGTTGTTGTAGCGTTTGTGTGGGGGCGGCTGTAGCAGACTGACCTGTGTTAGTATTAGCGTTGGCATTCACGGTGGTACCGCCAAGAGCACTGTTCTTATATTGTATCATTTGGGGAATTAAATTTTAAATGACCGATGCTAAATTTCTTATTCGTTCACAACTGGCTTTGTATGCGCATCACCTATTTTGTATCACAAGCTTCTTGTTTGACCACTTTTCGGGTATGAACTATGGCAAGCTCATTTTTTACCCTACATACTTTCAAGTGAAGTGCAATAAGGTGTATTATTACAAGTTAGAAGCTAACGCACATACAAATATTTGCATCAGTTTTTTCTCTATCAAAAACGAAAATTTTCTCCCAATTGTTTATTTTACTAGACGTATTCAGCGGCCATTATGGAAAAATCACTTCTTAGTGCTTCCCTGAAGTGAAATGTCAGTTTATTGCCAAACTGAAATGTCAGTTACTTACCAGTGCTGCCAAAACGATCGGGGTACAGTACATTCCGTTCCGAATATCCTTGACACCTCGTCCGGATTTCCCAAATCTTCCGATTCGTATCGCTGGATTGTTAAATAAATGCTAATGATGGCCAAATTGTAGTACAATTAACTTTATTGTACAACAAACAATTTACAACGCTCGCTAATACAGTAAAAACACTTTACAATACTTGTTAATGCAATGACAACGCTTAACTAAACTTGTTAACACAATTAAACTTATAGTTTGCTTATTCGCAACTCACTTCTCTGCTCACTTTATTTGTAGCTTGCTGACTTGTAACTCACTCACTCCGGTGTCTGGTGGCGCCTTTATATACCTGCGCTCGCACTCATGGCAACTTTAGAACGTTCTGAAGTTCATCGCTCATTCTCTATCTCTAGCTGTTCTCAGTGTTCATTCAACTTGCCGTTTCTGTTTGTGGAACATTCTACGTCGTTCCTCAAACATTTTGCCTATTTCTCGTTGTTCGCTTCGCGTTGCCGCAGTATTCGCCACACTGCCCTCCACCTAAGTCTGATCGTCCCGATCAGACACACTTGCTGCTCCAAACGTTGCTAGTCTTTCATCATGGTTCTCGGTCTCCCAGCTGTCTGGATTCGATGTACTGCCTCCTTCAGCCGTTTGTCAATCTATACGGACATTTCAAGTTACGATGTTGTTCGGAGGTGAAGCCTTTCTTCGGCTGCGGCATGGGCAACAACACCAAATCGCCTTCCTGTAGCTCCTCTCGGCTCGATGCGTTACTGGACATAGCTTCCAGCTTATCTCCGGTGGTGCACCATCTCACATGGTCGTGCTTCTGCCGGCCACTGGTGGTGACCAGACCATGTCTCCTCTCGTGGGCACCCTTTTTGCCAGATGTATGCCGAATCCTCGGTCCTTGACACCCAGGCTGCTGCATTCGTGTTGCACTGCCTTTAGCATATCTTGCTAAATCTGGTTCCTCACGCTGAAACCTGCCTCTCGCTCTTTCGCCGGCGTCAACCTCATTGACCGGACATGTATAACCTCATGCTGGGCTTCCGGCTTAACTGCTCGCCTTTGCCGACCACCTTTTTCGGGACACTTCAAAGCGCGCCTACTGCTTCCGCAGCCGCTTCCATTTCCGGCCACCGGCGTATCACCATTGCAACGTGGTTTAGCGGCTTTCCTCCTGCCGGAAACACTGTCTGGCTTGCCATGACCACTTGTTGCGACCTCTTCTTCACTGAGCTGGCGGAACCGTCACGCTTTTCCTGTATCGGTGAACCACTTCCTTCTCCTGACGAAACCATTTCGTTTCCATCACTGTCAACCTCTGCCCAACTAACCACTTCCGTTTCTGGTGGAATCTTCGACACTTCCTCTAAGACCAATCGTCTGCTGAAGCACTGGTTGAGGTAACCAACCCTAAGTGGCACTCTCCTGTCGCCATAGGTTAGGATCATTCCCTGGAGGTCAATCTTCATGCCTCGCCCAAGTGGGAAATCAACGCCGATGATGACTTCAGCCACAATGTCTGCCACAATAAACTTCGTGTACGAGGCCAACCCGTCGATTATTACCTCGCATAGTGCTTCTCCTAACACTTGGGTTCGCTCACCAGTTGCAGTCTGCAGCTTTGCTCCAGGTTGTGGCTTCACATAAAAAGTAGTTACATCAGGTCGAATAATGGAATGTGACGCTCCAGTATCCACTGTCAGCACTCGCTCCTGCCTATTCACACATCCACCAATAGTGAGGTTGCTCGCATTCCGGCCAATTTGTGAGATGGAGATTATGGGCCCTTCAACTTCTGGAGCCAGCACGCGGCCCTTCCTGCTGGCTCGTTTTAGTTTACCAACTGACTGGAGTTAGATTCGTCTCCTTCAGCCCTGCGTTTGCGTCCTGTTGAATTGTTGAGCCCATTGGAACTTGCACTGCAATCGGAGGCGAAGTGGCCTGGCTTTCCACATTTAAAACATATGCCAGATCCATGCTTTTTCTCGCCCAGCAGTTGGATTAGCTTCTTCAGCAATTCATTGGTCTCGTCTTTTACTTAGGAGTTCTGCTGTTTCACGTGTCTGAGCATACGAGACGGTTTCAGCAAATGTTGCCTTTGGATTCGCGTACGTCTCTCGCTTGGTATACACGTCCCGCATTCCGTTGATGAACCTCTGGATTTTTACTCTTTCGAGGTGCTCACCCGATGCATCTCCAATTGCCAAATGAGCCAATTGCCAAATGAGCCAACCCATTGGCTTTTTGGCAACGATTCTCCAGCTCCGTCTGGTAAATCTGTCTCCTGTGCTCGCTACCATAACGTCTCTCCACGGCACTCGTCAACGCAACGTAACTGTTCCATATCCTTATCTCCTCTACTGTGGCGCTTAGTTGTGGACGAACTCCTACAGATACTTACTAACGAGGGCGTCCGTTGCCAAGGGTACGCGGACGACATAGTGATTATCGCTAGAGGAAGTTCGCAAGCACTCTCTGTGACATCCAAAGAGGACTTAACCTTGCAAAAAGGTGGTGCGCAGATGTAGGTTTAAATACCAACCCTTCTAAGACAGCTATAGTCCCCTTCACTAAGAAACGAATTCTCCAGGGGATGAGGAACTTGACCTTGGACGGGGTCGTAATCAGTGTCGCCGCAGAGGTTAAGTATCTGGGGCTTACCCTGGACTCCAAGATTCTGTGGAGGGCCCATGTTGATGCGGTCACCTCTAAGGCCACGAGAGCGATTATGGTGTGCAAACGTCTAGCGGGTAAATCCTGGGGGTGCACTCCGAGGATCCTCAGATGGATGTACACCATGATAGTGAAACCAATAGTGACTTATGGTGCGGTGGAGGGCTTCGGCAAATGCTCAGCTCAGCTCCCCCTGGCTTTGTTCCCCAGGGACGATATTAACGGAGAGGTGGTCTTCAAGAGAAATTTCAAGACCCACACTTATAACAAGGCGACCTGGTGTACCTCTATTATGGAGAGTCACATACAGGCGAGCACAATACAGTGGTACACTGACGGCTCTAAAACGACCGCGGGGATTGGAGCAGGCGTGTACGGCCCTAGGCTGAAGCTTTCGGTGCCCCTGGGAACTTTCCCTAGGTCTACGCCATCAGTATGTGCGCTGAGATCAACATTCGTAGAAACTATAGGAACGAAAGGATACTTATACAAAGTGATAGCCAGGCGGCACTTAGGGCCCACTCATCATTCGGGATCAAGTACTCCTTGGTTTGGGAGTGTGTCGAGAGGCTCAATGCTCTGGCGGAGGTCAACGATATCCAGGGGTGCCAGGGCACATGGGGATTGCAGGAAATGAGGAAGCTGATCATCTGGCCAGACGGCCGCTTCCTCGACCCCGATAGGACCTGAGCCCTTTCTGGCAGTAGGACCCAACACCATAAAGGAAATGCTCAGAAGGGACCACAGCAAACTGAGGGAGCTCCACTGGCTTGGCACCATGGGCCAACGTCAGCCGAAAAGCTTATTTGGAGGTTACAATCTGTCAAGATACAGGCTTCTCATGGATCTGTCAAAAGAGAAACTAAGAATTATTACAGGTTTTATGACGGGCCACTGTAGGCTCAGAGGGCACCTGCATAAACTAGGTATCTGGTCCAGCGACTCGTGTCGCTTTTGCGATGCAGCCAAGGAGACTCCTCTACAGCTCCTTATGGAGTTAGGCCGTTGCACGCAGGAGGTAGAGGAGCATAGGGCACGTCTGGCCAAGAGCACATACACTCACTGTCCCCGGGGTCTATTATGAAATTTATAGACACTCTGGGGCTGGTTGATGTGTTGTGATGAGCTAGGGGCACAATAGACCTACTGGTCGCAGTGCCATACCCAACCAACTATCTACTATCTAAGGAGTTATTTGTTTAATTAATAAACTGTGTCAGTATAACACTTTGTGATGACTTTTCTTACGTTTTAAATTTTACACTTTTAAATGTAAACAAAAATTATATCAGCTGTTCGTCTAACTTGCAAGTTTCTGCAAATTTTCTGTTCGCGTACTATTTTGGATATTTTTCTCTTGTGAGAGAACAGATGACATTTCGCCGGAATTAGGCAGTTGGATGTTTTGTACTGGAGATTTTAAAAGAAACGCACTTATAAAAATTCGTGGAAAAATAATTTGACAGCTGTTGTCCATATCTCGTCGTTTTCATTGTGCTCGAGCGATTAGGCAAAAACAATCGATTAATTTAATCAAATGATTAATCGCTGCCATCGCTACTTGTATGTAATTATTTTGCAGCTGTGTTGTGTTTGTTCGGCGTGGTAAATAGTAAATGTTAGGGGAAATGTTATTCAATTTTTATGTAGATTAAGAACTGCTATATTTATAAATAAGTGGGACTGTTGTCTAGGATAGTTTTGAGCAAAGGTAGTTAAGCGATATGTTTCGCTTACGCCGACGGTATACATTGATTTTATGTGGTATTTGTACTGGGGTGTTGTTGCTGCTTTATCTACTAATATTATTTTCGGCACCCGCGCAAGATGGAAAGGTAATTTAGAAGCATATTAGTGCTAATTACTTTTTAATGACCGGTTAATTTATTTTTGTAATTGTTACCAATGTAGTCAAATTATTTGGCGATCGTGTCGAAATTGCAATCTTTAGAGGATGGGCTACACCGGCATGGACAAGAGATGAGACATTTAAAGATTCGTTTGGATCGTCAATGGGAACAAAGTAAGGACCAAGGGCGAGAAATAAATCAGCAACCACACAATGGGGAGCATGATATTTTAGAAAAGCCCGTGCTAGCCGAGCTGGAACAATGTAGTTTTGATTTTCAGCAGGTGCCACAGCCAGATGTGCAGGTGCATGGAATGCATACATATACATATAACAATCTATATGTACTAAGGTGACTACTTTATTATTAGATGCTGGAAATGTACAATGAGTGGACATTTGCGGACGTTGATGGCGGAGTTTGGAAGCAAGGATGGAACGTTAAATATGATCCACTTAGATTTAACGAACATAACAAATTGAAAGTGTTTGTAGTGCCTCACTCCCACAACGATCCAGGTAATAACAAAATTTTGTATGAACTATAGCTATGAACTACTTACATACATTATTGGCCAATACAATAGCACCCCCATTTCAAAGTAATATTGTTTCCCACTCATGTTTATTTATTTATTTTAGGAATTAATTATCTAATTTGAGAATATATTTTTTGGATTTTAGGAATTCAATTAAAATACAGTTCATTCTCTTAACAAAACCCATATAAACCCAAGTTTAAAACTTTGTTGAAACTACAAAAAAGTGCAACAAATTTTCACTTAAATTTCAAACTTTTTTCTCAGAAGTGTTAGATATTTTTTTACACAGTTTTATAGCCCATTCATTTTAGTCTAACAGTGTGCAAGTTCAAGTGGCTAAAAATCACTGTTGATTTTTTAGAATATTTTTTCGACGAATGTGTTGCGGGTTTCTTGCATATAAAAATATATTGTGTTTATTCATTATATCGAAGCAATTGCGACAAAAAAAAAACCTAAAAAGCCAACGGTTATTTTTAGCCACTTGAAACTTGCATATTGTTAGACTAAAATTGAATGGGCTATAAAACTGCCTACTCAAAAAAATTCTAACACTTCTGAGAAACAAGTTTGAAATTTAGGTGAAAATTTGTTGATTTCTTTTAGTAGTCTTTTACAAAGGTTAAATCTTGGGTTTATATGGGTTTTGTTAGAGAATGAATTGCACTTTAATCGAAAATTTTAAAAATTAATAGTTAAACATACATAAATGGCAAGCATCACTTTGAAATGGGGCTGCTATAGATATGACCAATACTGTATATTTATTTTCAAAGGTTGGGTTAAAACATTTGATGATTACTACGAGCACGACACCAAACATATATTGTCAAACGCCTTGCGTCATTTGCGCGAAAACCCAGACATGACATTTATCTGGGCTGAAATATCTTACTTTTCACGTTTCTATGAAGATCTCGGGGAGCATAATAAGCAAGAAATGAAAAAGTATGCTTTTATTTAATGTAAGACAATTAAATTTATCGTGTTTTCCCTAGGCTTGTGCAAAATCGACAACTCGAATTTGTAACCGGTGGTTGGGTTATGCCCGATGAAGCAAATTCACACTGGCTGAGTGTTTTATTGCAACTAACCGAAGGCCAAACGTGGTTAAAAAAACATTTTAACATTACGCCAACATCTTCATGGTCCATAGATCCTTTTGGACACAGCCCTACTTTACCCTACATTCTGAAAAAGTCAGGATTTCAGAATCTTCTTATACAGCGCACACATTACGCAGTGAAAAAGGAGTTGGCGCTGAAACGGCAGTTAGAGTTCTACTGGCGACAAATTTGGGGTATTCTTTCATCAATTTAGAGATTTATATTTAACATTTAATTATTTTTCTCATATTTTACAGATACTTCAGGCAGTACAAGTCTCTTTACACACATGATGCCATTCTATTCCTATGATATACCTCATACATGTGGACCGGATCCAAAAATTTGTTGTCAATTCGACTTTAAACGCATGCATGAGTTTGGACTTTCGTGCCCATGGCGCGTGCCACCACAACCGATCACGGAGCAAAATGTTGCACAGCGGTAATGCTTTATTATAATATTTTACTTTAAATTGCGCTGCATAATTTTCTAAAATTTTAGTGCGGAAATGCTTGTAGATCAGTGGAAGAAAAAGGCCGAATTATACCGTACCAATGCGCTTCTGATTCCCTTAGGCGATGACTTTCGTTTCAGTCAAAGCACTGAATGGGATGTGCAGCGAGTCAACTACGAAGCACTTTTCGATCACATTAACTCGGAGCATCGTCATTTTGTTGAGGCTAAATTCGGTACTTTACAGCAATATTTCGATGCTGTGCATCAAGAACAGCGTGATAAAATGCGTGAATTCCCCATGCTTAGTGGGGACTTTTTCACTTATGCGGACCGCTCTGACAACTACTGGTCAGGCTACTACACATCTCGTCCATACTATAAGCGCTTGGATCGTGTACTATTGCATTATGTGCGTGCTGCAGAAATGCTTTACTCATGGCGATTATGGGACTCCTCTGCGAAATTCGATGAAATGCTTCAAAATGCACGACGCCAACTATCACTGTTTCAACATCACGACGGTATAACAGGAACAGCTAAGACCCACGTGGTAAAGGATTATGCACGCCGTTTGATAGATGCTGTGACGACATGTCAATTCGTAATGCAGCAGGCGGTTTATAGACTGCTAACCAAACCATCGGTTGGTGATAAAATGAATAATTATCTTCAATGCCATTAATTTAATGGTTAATTGGTTTTATCATTTCTTAGATCTATATACCCGACTATAAGTTTCATTACTTTTATCTGGATGACTCTCGTTGGCCTGGTCCTACTGATAGCCGTAGCACGATTATTTTGGGCGAGGAACTGCCCTTAAAACACATTGTTGTACACAATTCTTTGGCGCAATGGCGTGAAGAGATGGTTGACTTCTATATTTCGAGTCCATATATGAGTGTGACGGACTTCCATGGAAATCCCGTGCAAGCACAAATTACGCCCGTTTGGACATGGCATAGACACATACCTTCGAATAGTATCACACCACAAGCATCTACTACGAAGTATCGATTGTTGTTCAAGGCTAATGTCCCACCCTTAGGTTTAGCCACATATATGATACAAGTGCAAACAAGTCAAACTAAGTATGCCAATAAAACCTAAATACAATGTAAAATTATACAATATTCTATCTTCTTATACTTGCAGACATACATCGTATGCGACGAATCTCATTTTAACCACGAACCCCACATCCATTAGCTTAGGGAATTATCCACATGAAGTGAAATTTGGAGAGCATCGTCCTATTTCCTTGCATGTAGCTGGAGGTCCAACTGTAGCATTTAGCGGTGACGGCCTTCTAAAATCCATACAAATTGACGTTCATGCACAGCACATACCGATAAAATTAAAATTTTACAAGTATAGTGGTGATACCTCCGGCGCTTACCTATTCATGCCACATGGACCAGCTACGCCTTTGGTCGATATGGGCCCTCCTACAGTTCTTGTAAGTGAAGGTCCATTGGAAGCGAGTGTGACCGTTGGGTTGCCTTTCGTGGTACATCAGACACTTCTGCGAGGTGGCGCACCTGAAATACAAAATCTAGTGGATATTGGCCGCATGGACAATACTGAAATAGCGATGCGATTTTTGACTCGTATAAAGAGTGGTGACCTTTTTTATACCGATCTCAACGGATTACAGGTTTACTGCAAGATACTTTAATCGCGAGAACATGTAATGTCGTATTTTACTTAATTTTAGATGATTAAACGCCGACGTTTGGCTAAACTGCCACTTCAAGCAAATTACTATCCCATACCATCATCAGCTTACATCGAAGACGATACATTGCGCTTGACATTGGTGACAGGACAACCCTTAGGCGGTTCGTCGTTGAATTCCGGCGAACTAGAAATAATGCAGGATCGCCGTCTAACGCACGACGATGAGCGCGGCCTGGGTCAAGGTGTGCTAGATAATCAGCCTGTTATGCACATATTTAGAGTCGTTTTAGAGCGGATAGATACCTGCCTTATGCTTTCGGAAACCCATCCGTCAGGCGCCTTAACTCCAACCGCGCACTTGGCTTCGCAAACATTACTTCATTTCCTTGATAAATTTATTTTTATTGAAAATAATTGGTTGGGCGTGCAACCTTCTTTCGGGGAAAAACGAGGGGGTGTAGGTGAAGATATATCCATTGCGGTTTTAAGAAATTTACCACCATCGGTAACGAAAATACCAGTAGCACATGATCGTAAGCCAAAGGATTCATTAACAAATACTGGCGTTGTGGTACATCGTACACTACTATTGCAGTGTCGCGCCGACGATCAACAAACAAGCTTTGTAAGTGACAGTTGCCCTTTATATTTTCAGACTTGTATAATCAAAGCGTTTGTTTGAATTTCAGGTTAACTTGAGCAAACTGCTTATGGTTGCTGCAGTCACCAGTGTTTACAATACAAGTCTAACATTCCTCCAACCTCCACAAAAGTTAGATACTGTTGAAGCGATTACTCTTTGCCCGCTGGACACGCAGGCATTTATAATACAACATCACAATTAATTTAGCAACCCGAATAATTTAGAATTACCAGTGCTAGTTTTTAAAAACACCGAATCTCAAATCATTGGAACAAGTTTAAATGCATTATTTTATGCGCCCCTTACTCATTTTTTTTAAATGTAAATGCTAATGGCAGTTTTCTCTTATCATAAAAGTCGTATTGCTTAAGTAATTTTAACTATTCAATATTTTTGTATATGTTTGTGATAAAAATTACGATTGACTTAAATGTAATTTTATGATTTTATCCTTAAATTATGATATTCAAACAAGAAAATACATGTAGATTTTTATTTATTATTCAAGTCCTTTGTTGGCTTACTATTTGACTAGTAATTACTGTAGTAGTAATGAATTTTCAATAAAAAATAAAGAGGTATTTAATTTTAGTCTCAGTTGTATGACTTATTGTGATTAAAACTTGAAGCAGCTCATGACTTCCCTTGTTTTCAACAAGCATCCTCTGGCTAAGGTGAGAAGGCCAACTTTCCGCACGGGGTTGTGTGCTGCGCTTGGGGTTGGCTACGTAAAAACCAAATCTAATAAGACGAAACAAGAGAAGCGGAAATACGTGAGTAAGAAGGTCTTATAATGCATACCAAAAGGTTTTAGCGATCAGGAACCTGTTAAAACAACCACGTTGACCCAGTGACCGACGTCCAAAAAGAATGTATTATGGAAGGAACATTTTTCCACTCTATTATGGTGACAACACTGAACGTAGTGGAGAAGAGGAAACCGAGCCGCCAGTGATAGCGACGGAGCAAAATGCCACCGTTTGACTATGATGTGGTACGAATAGTAATCACAACAACACAGCTTCTGGATTTTACGGTCTGCCAGCTGAGCTATTCAAGTACGACGGCCAGAAGTTGACAAGGTGAAGGCATCGACTCTTATGTTGTCAAGATGAACGCATGCCCGCCTACTGGAATTTAAGCGTGCTCTGCCCAATCCAAAAGAAAGACAATCTCGCCATACGTGCCAACTATCAAGCAGTTTTCTAAGCATAATTTACAATTAGGGAGTTCACAAGGTGTTGTATACTGTCGTACTGTTGTATGTCACAAACTTTAAACGGCTAAAACTATATTTAAGGAATTCGCAAGCTAACATAAAAGTTTTATTATGAAATTTCACACAATTAAAAAATAAATGGTGGTGATTTCAAGTCCTCTAAACATTTACAAGTACGACACCTTGTGAACCACCCAAATATATTGGAGTCAGCTGGCACGTGAGAAACTGATTCACACGAACTGATTGGGCCTTATCGGTGTGACTTTAGACCTGCCCATTTCCACCATAGACCAGGTATTCACAATATGCCAATTAATGGAAGAAGACTCGTGAGAATAGGATCGACACATACCATCTAATCATGCGAAGAGGTGCCGTGAGTCATGAGGCCGCTGGGAACTTACTGGGTACATCTGCGCTTACTCTGTTCAGGTACGAGTTTAATCTACTGCAGTAGCATGAGCGAATTTGGGCCATTGTAGTGCGAGTCTGCCGAAGGTAACTCCAGGGGTTTTCGGGTTATTCACCTCCTTCGTCCAGGTAGTTGTTGTTGTTGTAACAGCATACAAATTCCCAAAGAGTTTTTGGAGTTTTTTTTAAGGGAGAGGGTTACGCTCCTTACAGTGAAAAGCGAGAAAGTTCGGAGAGGTGACCGATTTATTTTCGAGCACATGTCATCAATTCCATCCCCGGATACCATTATCGAGCAGTCGTCAGCATAGGAGACAATTAAGACTCCCTCTGGAGCTTGAGAGAGCTTTGATATACAATAATAAGACAGCTTCGGGGAAAGGACACCACCCTGGGGAACCGCTTTTTAATATTCGTCGGCTTGCTGGTTTTATTTCTAAAAATGACTGAAGAATGTCCGACACTCAGATAATTCGCTGACCACCGTTTCAGTCTTTATGGGAGAGGAAGCCTCAATGTCTTCTAGTAGCGTGGAGTGACTGACGGTGTCAAAAGCCTCTGACAGATCCAACGAAACTAGGACTGTTCTCCCACAGGTGCGGTTTCGGTTTAGGCCCCAGCTATATAAGTTTTTATGGCGTTAAGTGCCGTTGTTGTGCTGTGCACTTTACGGAACCTATGCTGATGCCTCCCAGGGGTGAAATGATTCGTGTAGTGCGAGGGTAGCAAGGCCTCAAGTGTCTCCCTTGTTGGCCAGTTTCACCGGTTTAAGCAGTAGTGTCACTCTTCCCATTTTCCAGATATACAGAATGATGAGAGTGACGATAGACAGGTTGAGGACCTTGGTAAGGTAATATACTCCCGCGCGACCCAATTTTTTTTAGCATCAGTATGGATATTCCGTCGGGTCCTGTGGATTTGGAGGCTTTCGCCTTCCCGATGGCTATCCGTACCTCCCCGCTGGTGAAAGCAAGAGTTTGTGCAGCCTTTTGGTCACTCGACGTTTGGCTTTGTCCGCGGGAGCATGCAGCGTAAACTATCGGCTAAAGTGGCTCGTGCATCGCTCCGGATCCGACGAAGCGTGGTCACGGAAAGAGATTTCGTCGGGTTGGACAATGACCTCACGGTTGACCAAAGCTTGCTCACACCGCAGGTTTTCAGACGCTCTTCCCACTTCTTTGACAACACTAAGAGCAGTTGCCTATACGCCGCGATGTCTGAATTTGGTATCTCCGCGAAACTGATACGGCTGTGTAAAATGACGTTGAGCAATACCACCAGCTCCGTCAGAAATGGCAATTTGGTAATTTAGTCGAGACTTGCATTTCCGAGTTAGTTTGAAAGTGGTTAGAGGGCTGCCCAATACCAACAAAAGCTCAATACCTTATTTAAGTACCGGACCCGGGGATGTTTAACGTGAGTACCTGCCGAAGACGGTCTAACCTCACGGCGCTCAAAAGCATACGGATCGAATCAGTGCGAAGATCAGCGCCCCGAAATGCAAGCATCTCGGTACCAAACTGCAGTGCGGAATGGACACAGTAGCCACTTTGGTAGTCTCTGCCGTTCTTTGATTCCCGGCATTCGGTTGCAATGCAACTCCACATTGAACCATTACCGGTTCTACACGCATTTGGGTGTTAAACCACGAAAACTGCCGACGGGACGTTCCCAAGAACAGGCCATAGTAAGTATAGGATACTATGGGGACCTCTGCTCCACGTGGTACCAGAATTAAGTCTCTGGTCAGACCTCGAAGCCGAAGACTTCTGCCAGTTGAGCCTCCACTCGACTCAAGGACTGGCAGCCTTTGACTGTGTACCTCGGGGTTGTCAAGCCCGTAATTCAACTTACTCGGAATCCCTTGGGGGCCTTTTAAGTACAATAACCCTTAGGGATCCTATACAACAAATCGACATTTGCGAGCGGTAGAACCACATTTCCCGCTCATTAAGTACCGCCGTTCAATAAGTAGTCGGATTTCAGCGTTCCCGAAGGAATGACTGGTACGGTGAGGAGTGTCAAGAAGCTGCAGAGAAAAAATATGCCGCCTATAGGGCCACGCTGCTATCGGTCGCAATGCGAGTCGGTAGCTGAAGAGGGAAACGATACGTATTTGGCAAAATTAGAAGGTAGAGGTCGAAATACGTGAGTGCAAAGAGCTTGAAATGCTGATAAGGTGCATGCAGAAACTCTTATGCTGAATATAATCAATCGACAAGAAAGGCGATCCCGTTACAAGCGCCAATTACCGCGGGATCAGCCTTCTAAGCATAGGTCACAAGCTCGTATCGAGTGCGTTGTGTGAAAGACTTAAGCCCACCGTCAACGAACTGATTGAACCTTATCAGTGTGGTTTTAGACTACCATAGATTAGGTATTCACAATACGCCAAATCTTGGAAAAGACCCGCGAAAATAGAATCGATACACACCATATATTCGTCGATTTCAAAACCGCTTTCGAAAGCACAAAAAGAAGTTGTCATTGAATCCATCGTAGTTCGATTTTTCGCGAAATCTACGAAAATGCTATCGCTCTCCCGACGTGAGGAAACCACACTCACTAAGTCACTCATCATATCCGTGAGAAGGCTCTGGGTATATTCGAGAGAAAGATTTTGGGGAATATTTACGGGCCTTTACGCGTTTGCGACGGCGAATAGCGCAGACTATGGAAATATGAGCTGTATAAGCTCCAGCTCTGATCCAATTGGCTCAGAAATGAAATGACTGGCGTGCTTTGTTGAACTCGGCCAAAATCGCTTAGGCAGTTTCTGCACAAAATAAAGGGCAGACAGTGTTCTGCTAAGCCTGAAGTTTCGGTTTGGTTGTCTCCGTTGGGGCTTAGTTGCCGACCCGACCCACCAGAAGGCAGCTTTATGATAGTGAAATTAGTCAAGAACTTGAACCCGCTACTACGTATAACCGTGCCAGCTGACACGACCTATCTTAACAGAGCACCATGTAAATTAAAAGTCAACAACGCAAAATTTTCTGTTGTAGTCCGCGGGGCAGAAATTCTGCGTTTTTATGTTTTCATTTAAATGGTCCTCTGGTAAGATCGGTCGTGTAAGTTGACACGGGTTTACATAGCAGCGGTTTTAGGTTCGCGCGCATCTTGGATTTGTGTGCAAGTGTACTCGGGTTTAAAAACTTATAAGCAGCTACTTGTTTGATGGATAAGAAATTGAAGTGATCACGGATCATTTTCCTCGGGCTACACTTTCAATTTGCTGTTGGGTTGGTGGCGGATAGCGATGGAGATTCACATGTATCATATACATATGTACATATGCATATTCTTTCAATTGTAAAGTGGTTGTTACGCTCTTGACATGAAAAACACAGATTCCAATACGAAACTCTCTCGACCGGTTATGAAAATTTTTGAAGATGGCGCGAGAGAGCCATGTGCGTGTATGTGTTTTTGAATGCTGGTACGTATTTCTTAATTCAAAACGCTAAAATTTTTGAGGTTGGTGCTTGATGCGTTTTTGGTGCTTCTTTTTTAGTTTGAAGACACAAAAACTGTAAATATGAAACAAAAATGGAAGTTAAACTTAGAGCAATTGGAAGTTTCGTAAGGAACTTTACAAAAATGGAAACAAAATCATGGCACAATGACAATCATAAGCGAAAGAAAAAATATGTGGCAGCACTTTCAATCATGCCAGCAT